GCCTAGAAAATAGAATTTCTATAAGCTGAATCTATTGAAAGCCCACTTGGCCAAAAATGTTGCATCTTTATTGCCCATCTTTTAATAATGTTACTTACTTTCTCCATTCTGTTTTCTCTTTCCGCCAAGAAAGGCAAAGCTGGTCATGGTGGCACGTGTCTGTAGTACTGGCACTCGGGAGGCTGAGGCAGGAGGGTCTCCTGAGCACGGGGCATTGAGACAGATTAGGGCAACACGGTGAGCTCTCATCTCAAAAAGGAAAAGCAAATGCTTTGCTGTGAAATGTCTGGTTTTCCTTTAGGTTCATGAGTGCTAATTGTCCTGGCTTTTTTCCTTTTCATGTTCAGCACAGTGATGAGCTTGAATGACTCCCTTTGTTAACTCAGAAGCTGCAAGTGATGAAAAGGTTATATATGCAGTAGATTTGATCTGACACACTTTTACAAATTAAAAAAAATATCATGTTTCATAGCCTGGTTTAAAATTAGAGAAATTGAATAAAGTCTAAACTAATCTGGAAAAGAGGAAATGCTATGTATCAGATGTTTACACTGATCCTTGGCCAATAGATATTTTAGCACATAGGCTCAAAATATAGGAAACAGGTAATGAGAAACCAACTTAGTGAAAATAGTATCTAGTTTGTGCCAAGAAAATATTTGACTTTTAAAAATGCATATTAGATAAATTTGGTTCTTTTTTGTAGTCTAATGGTCTTTACACTTCTGTACACCAGGGTGTGCTGGTCCTCTCATGTGAATATGGATGAAAATTTATTTCCTGGTTGATTAGGAATGTGCGTGTCCTTTGGTGGATGTGGGAAACAGATGTCTTGTGGGTAACAGATGTCTTGGCTTTTACAGACTAATTGGCAAAGAGGGAGAAAAAGGGAGATAATTAAAGGGGTGGGAGGAGACACAAGAAAAGTGCAGTCTTCCTTGTGGGGAAAAACCTAATAGACCTCCTTATTATGGGTAATTGCCTCTTTCTTCAACCTCATTTGCTATCCCTTTTCATATGACTCAAGTACATTGTAACGACAAAGTGTAAGATAAAGAATCATAAGGCAGGACTACTGTCTGCTAACAGCTAGGTTTATCCTGTCATGGAATATTCTAGTATAATTAACTCAATTAACATCAGATTTTAAAAAAATCGCAGGAAAGCATAAGTCTAAACACTAATGGCAACTTACATTTTAATTGGCAGCACAAAGTTTCTGTGTTGAGTATAGTTGTTATAATGTAGTTTAATTATATGCCAAATGTGACTGTGTGGTGGACTGGGGAGAAATGAAAAATGAGAGACTAAATATGTCATGTGTCACTTATACATTGCAGGCCCTGTTGAGTTTACAGCTTGTTCTTTGTTAGTGTGATGGTGACTACCAGTTGACCTGGAATAAATGGGAGCATTTGGCAGATGTTTGGATCCATTATCATTAACAAACCCTCAGTTTTGTCAGTGTTTTCCATCATGCAAGATATAATGTATGGTGTCATTTTCTGTCTTAACTCTATCACCTTGGTCTGTATTATTCTGGTTGGTACCTTTTACTTTCAACTGAAGGAAATTTTTATAGCCTGTTAAACATTCAGGGAATATTCACATTCATTATTCCTTGATAAGAAATACTATGTAATCATCTTTAGAAGGAGCCAGTAGCACTTAGAAGAGGAAGTATGAGAGTAGGTAGTTAGAAGTCTACTTAATATAGAATTCAGATAAGGTGAAACATTATTATTATTATTATTATTTATTTTAGATTCAAGGCATGTGATAATGACTTTTATTTGACCACCTGTCTTGCTAGAAAACAGGTAGGTAGCATTTGTTTAAAAATGTCAACTGTGTTTTACATTCTATTGAAACAACACAGATCAAAATCTGAATGGTTGATTATTATTTGCTAATTACTTTCTGCTATGTTAGAAATACATTTTATTCACAATTGCTAAAAACTAGTTGGGAATGGCACCTTTGATGAGATAGAAACAATATTGCTTATGCAGTCTAGAAACTGTTACATTAAGTCAATTACTTGATCTTTTTGAGCCTCATTTCGTGTCTATAAAATGGAGATAGTGACAACCAACTCCCACAGTTGCACTGGGAGTTATATATGCCATGATGAATGCACATGAAACTAACATGTTTAATTCTTAAGTGTGATATGGTTGTCTTCACTCAGTGGGTCCATATTCTTTAGTTGGTTGCTCTGATTTCCTGGCTAAATTTCTCTTGGAAATAGAAAATTCAAGGAGACTCTGATGAGCATAGTGACAAATGATTTGAGGTTGCATATCAGAAGGGTTACTCTTCTTCCCACTTTCAGACTCTTAAATATGGGGGGTGAAGAATAGCTACAGAGAGGAAAGTTTCTTAAATTGTTGAATTTTTTCATATTTAAGTGACAGATTTCTGTAAGTTGTAAATTTAGTCATTAAATGTTGCATATGAAACTTCAAGATTTCTAGACTCACTGTCCCTGCCCTGGTTCATTTCCTATTTTCAGAAAGACTCCATAAAATTAAATATTTTCTCCAAGTTAATCAGCAAGTGAGTGGCACAACAATGGCTAGAACCCTCCTTCTTTCCTGTATTCTTTGTCTGGATTATCATCAGAAACCATCTTGCTGTGATAGTTTTTAAAATGTCAACTGTGTTTTAAGTTTCTTAAAATCATATAGATCTAAATCTCAATTATCAATTAGCTACCATTTACTTTATAGTACTATGGCTTGAACCCAGGGTTTTGTATATACTGAGCAAGTACTCTACCATTTGAGCTATGTCACTGGGTCTTTCCTGTTTGTTTTTGAGACAAGGTCTCACTAACTTTTTTCTGGGCTGACCTCAAACTCACCAAACTCCAGTCTCTGCCTCCCAAGTAGCAAGGATTACAGACCAACATGCCTGGCTTAATTACTAATTTCTTTCTGCTGTATTACAATTATATTTTATTCACAGTTACTAGGAACTAGTGTGGTGGTAGAGAAGGATCAAGCCTGGACCATCAAAAGAATAAAGGTCATTGAATTCACACTTGGGATGGCAGGGAGACATACATTCCTTTGTTTTATCTTTTAAATGGTTTCTGTACCCGAGTTCATTCAGCTATTCCTTTATGGATTACAATTGCCTTTTGGTTGTTTGTGTAGGACAACCAGCTTTACCCTGTCCAGTAGTAGGAGAGATAGCAACTAATGTTTATATAATACTTTTTATGTGCCATTGTGTCATTGATCTAAAGATTTTTCAAAGATTAACCCATTTATTCTCCACAATGTCACTATGAGAAGGTATATTATCATCACACTTATTACCTTTCATTAAGGAAATGCAGGCACAAAGGGACCAAGTAATCCCTAAAATTACAAGGCTTAGTATAACCAGGATTTGAATGCCTTTGTCAGATTGGAATTGGAAATGCTAGAGAGATCCCACTGTCAGAAGACACCCAAATTCATGGACACTCACTGTATGTGTTCTTTTATACAAGCAAAGTGCCTTAATACATTTTCTAAATTGTTAGGTTTTATACATCTAGTTTTATGGAATCTCAGTCAATCTAGAATATGTGGTTCTATTGTAGCACATAACTATTGATGAAAGAATATATTTACTCATGTTGGTCAATTCTACAATTAACAAAGGAGCAAGCTATTATAGTTGGAAACAAAACATTTTATTTTAAGATTATGTTTTCCTTAGGACATTTTAATGAAAATACGTAAATTCTACCATTATAGGAATATTTTTATAAGTCAAGAAAAATTCTCAAGAGAAGTTATCTGATTAATACATAATTTGTTCTTTCATACATATATAATATGTATACATATAGTAATATTACCCATTTTGTTACCATATTAATATTTGAAACTGAGTAAAAGTGATCATTTTTATACCATATATTTTATAAGTATAAAATCAACTCTAATTGGAGTGATTAGCAATCTAAAGACATTGATTTTATTAACAAATAATTATGTGGTAAAAATTTGAACATTCAGATAATTGTGGAGGCAGTTACAATTTAACAAAAAGTTCACTAACATCATAAAACAAAAATTTATTTAGAATTATACTACTTAGAAAGAATATATTTAAATAAAATTTGAATAAGTTACTCACAATCTCAGACGCTTCATACTGACAAATACTTTACATCAAAACAGAGAACTGCTGAACCACTTTGAACATGTGAGTTTGTGTGTGTGTGTGTGTGTGTGTGTGTGTGTAATAAATGGGGAATGTTGAAGTGACATGAAGAAGCAAACAGATTAATTTAGCAAAGTCTAAATTTTGAAAGATTTATTGTTATATTAAATTCTATTATTGATGTACTTTGCTTTATGGAATAGATGTGTGCATTAGAGAAAATTGCCTCAAGGTCATGGTCTATGTTCAAATACCTCTAAGATGTATAACTTAGTGAAGAGGGGAAGTATAATGGTTCATCAATGCCTTAAAAGTACCATAACAATAACAATAATGTTAAAATGTCAGAGAATATAAAAATGAAGAGTCCCAATTATTTTTAGAGCTATAAATTTCTATGGTTAGTTTTGTGTTTAGCACACTCACTTAAAAGTCTAAAGGAAAAAGAGGAAATGAACAGAATTACTCCAGTTTATTTTGTTACAGCTATGGTAACCACACTAATGTTCTACAAGTAATGCTGGACAGCTCCCTGTGGCAGCATTTCATAGGAGTTATTAATTTTAAAATAAACTAATGGAGGTTATGAAGGACTTAAAGCATAGGTGAGGAAAATGTATGAAAATATAGTAGCAACTGAATAAATTCATAAAAATACTAACAATAGTAAATGACAATTAGGCAGCCTATTTAGTGAAATACAAGACTGGGAGGGTGCATTATCAATAATTGGTCTTCCTGAATTTCCATTAAGGTTGAGTTTCCATTCTCAACTTCTGTGGAATAACTGTGCATATCTTTTGCATTTTAAAGCTTTTTGCCTTACTCTTTCCAGGATTGAAGTGTGTGTGTCTTTTGTGTGACTCCTCAAACTTTACCTGCCAAACAGAAGGAGCATGTTGGGCCTCTGTCATGCTAACCAACGGCAAGGAGCAGGTGATCAAATCCTGTGTATCTCTTCCAGAATTAAATGCTCAAGTCTTTTGCCATAGTTCCAACAATGTAACCAAAACTGAATGCTGCTTCACAGATTTTTGCAACAACATAACACTGCACCTTCCAACAGGTAAGGGATTTATCCTTGTTCATTCCAAATTTAATTTTATTCTTGTGAAACTTTAAACATGGCAGAAATCAAACTGTTTTGTGTTTCTTTGAATAAGAAAATCTGTTTTTATAGTTTTCTTTTTTTGGACTGGTAAAATTCTCTAGTCTAGCTGAGGTTGATTATTTTAAAATATTGCACATCACTGTCAAAGTATGGACAATATCATCACAATTTAGAAGAAGTTTGTTCACATGAATAATATTTTTGATGTGATTAATAGACCTAAAGTAAAATGTAAACTTTCATTGATTCTTTTAGAGGAAACAAATTGATATGTATAGCAAGAAAAAAAGAAAAAGGCAAAAAGGAAACAAATGGGCAAAAACCTACTCTAAGTGACAAAAGATGGATCATCAGTCTAGCCCTGGTGGATGTGGGGAGTGACTGAGAACATTTTTCAGTGATGGAAATGCAGTGGTTACATGGTCATACGTATGTGTCAACCACCATCTAAAATGTACATTTAAAACATGTATTTTATTATATTGAAATTGTAACTCACTAAAATTGATTTTTAAAGAAAAAAGACTGGTTCCTGTCTGAATTTGAGAATAGAATATAGGATTCTCAGTACTTAAGCAGAGTTTATAACTGGGCTAGAAAGGACATACATTCCACCTGCACAAGGTACCTTTAATTTACCCAACTGTACCTTGTCTTCCAAAGCTTTTGCTATAGTCAAAGGTGTTGTCTCATACCCATGTGTAGTGACAGAGTATGATCTTCTGGATAGTTTGTTATTGAGAAGACATATTAAAGAGGCCACTGCCACAGCTAATGAGAAGACCCCACCCCCCTCATCACCTTAATTTTTGTATTTGGTTAGGGGTAAGAGTAACATCAAATTTAAGTAAACTTCATTTTAGGGTGTGTCTGATTTACAGATAAACCAGTAGGAAAACATCCATATGGATACCAGATAACCACCAAGTCAAGGAAGTCTATGGAATATGAGACAGAGAGAGTAAGTGTGATCTAAAAAACCAAGACTGCAAGTAGCTTTAGGGGATGAAATTGGTCAAGTATAACTTTTGAAGTTGCAATATGTAAGATAATACCATAGAATAGTGCTTCCTAAGGAGTGAGATGAGTACCAGTGGTACTCATGAAAAGGTTTTAAGAGATTTTTAGATGAATTAGGGTGTTAAACAAACACAATATTGGATTTGATCAGTGTACATTGTATGTGGTGTTGAAATATCATGCTCTACTAATATGTATAATTAATACATGTTACTCAAACAGTTTTCAACATTAAAGAAAACAAAAATATTACATAACATTGAATTACATATTAATTACATAATAATTTCTTCTCTAATTCTCTTAGTTTTTCTATTTTTGCACCAAGATATCTCATTTCTTGGTAGTATGTTCTTAACATTTTGTTCTCTCTCTTTTAAGCAGAGAAAAAAACAAAATACCTAACTGAAATGCAGTAACATCATTTAAAAAATTTGTTGTTTATTTACAGAGTTATCTTCTATTTATAGCAATAAAATTGGTTTTAAATTTGTGGTAGTGACACTAAGTTTCTGTATAAGATAAATGATTTTCGGTTAAAAAGTCAGTTTATAAAAAACACTACAGTGTTTTGCTGATATGGTGATAGCAGTACACTAGTTAATGTCTGATCTGTTTTCTATCACTGTGGATTAGATTTTCCCTTAGAATTGTATACGAAAGGAATCATTATAGAGTATATTTCTGGAGGGATTGTCTTCTTTCACTCAACATGATGTTATTGAGATTCACTCATGTTGTTGAGTGTATTAGTAGTTTACTTTTTATTGCTCAGTATTATTCTATTATGTGGATATCTATAATTCTTAAAACATATTTCTCTGTTGATGGATATTCAAGTTTGTTATTAACAAACTTATTGTAAACATTCATATACAAGTTCTTTGGAAGATATTTCCAGAGAAGAAAACTTTTATTTTATTTTGTTTACTTGCAGAGCTAGGGATTGAATCCATGGTCTTGTGCATGCTAAGCAAGCACTCTACTACTTAGCTACATTCCCATTCCTTTATACAGGACTATTGAAAATTGGGTTACATTTTTTCTTATGATTGAGTTGTAAGAGTTCTTCGATATTTTGATACTAATTCATGACTAAATGTATACATTGTAATTGTTTTTTCTTTTCTGTGAATTGCCGTTTTTTTCTTGAAGGTGTCTTCCATAGAACCAGAGATTAAACATTTGATAAAAATTATCATTGTTATTATTATTTGCTCACTTATTTCATCTCCTAAGAAATCTGCATTTACCCAAAGTTTACACATGTTTTCACATAGAAGTTTTATCATTTCAGTTTTTACTTTTAAGCATGTGCTCAGTTCCAATTGGTATAAAATAGTACACAACATATAGTAGTGAGGTAAAGGTGGAGTTTTTTTTTTCTTTCCCCTAATGGACATGAGGTTGTTCCAGTATCAGTTGTTAATAAAGTCTTTCTTTCCCTTGTTGAGTCACTTTGGCACTTTGGTTGAAAATAAAGTGACCAAATATACGTGAGTGTATCTCTGGCCTCTTTATGCCATTCATTTGTTCTATATGTCTTAGGCCACTGTTGAACTGTGCTGATAATTGCTGTTTAATAGTAAATATTGGAATTAGGTTGTGTGACCCCTCCAACTTTGCTCTTTTGAAAAATTGATTTGATATTATAAGTCATTTTCATTTAAAATTTAGAATCAGCTTGATTATTTCTACCAAACACACGATGAGAATTTGATTAGATTGAGTTGAGTGTATAGATTAATTTGGAGAGAATAGTTAACAATATCAATCTACGAACATAGTGTGTTTTCCATTTATTTGGTTCTTCTTCAGTTACTCTTAATGGTGTTTTGTAGTTATCAGACAACAGGTCATATAAATATTTCATTGAAGTTGTTCTCTGGTGGATGCTATTGTGAATGCTATTTTTAGCATCTCATTTTCTAAATGTTGATTTATACTATGTGAAAAAAATCAATTTTGTATATTGACCTTATAGCCTGAAAGATTGGGAACATAACTTACATTAGTTCTAGCAGTTTTTAAAAGCAGATTCTTTGGAATTTTCTGCATATATAGTTATATACAAATATAGGCATTAAAACCCCTCTCCGTTCTGATATGTCTGCATTTTGTTTCTCTTTCTTGGCTTTTGGCACTGCTCAATCTCCAATATCATGGAGGGATGGTGACAGTGAAGTTTCTTGTCTTTTTTTTGGTCTTCGAAAAGATTGTCTATGACCATTATGATGGTGTTACCTCTAAGTTGTAGATGCCTGTTACAAATTGAGGGACTTTTGTTTTATTTCTAATTTGCTGAAAGGTTTTTAAAAAAATCTTGAATGGATATTAAAATTTTTCAAGCATTTTCATGACTTGCTTGAGGTTATCCTATGATGTGTCTTTAAGTCTGATGATTTGATGAATTACATTGTTTTAAACTTTGCCTCTATTAGGGAATGCATGTGTTGTCTACAAATGCTTTATGGCATTTCTTTGAATTCAAACATTTTATTTAAACTAAGAATTTGTTTCTTTTCTTGACATGATATAGTAAATGGACACTGAGTTGAAAAGGAGCATATATAGTACACACCATCACCTAGTGTAACATGTTTGTCTCTGAGGCAACTCTGGGTGGTGCTGACCTGTAGATGGAACAACAGCCGTTTGGAGAAGGGTTGGGGACCTCCAGGCTGAGCATGTGCACAGTCAGTGCCAGCAACTCCACCTTTTCTGAACCATCAATGACTGTGATTGGTGTTCCCTGCTCTGCTTAGTAAGAGTCTGTCAATTCAAATGTGGTCATGCATAAATGAAAATGAGAAAATCTCTCTGAGGTCGATAGTGTGCCATTTCTGTAGTGCTTGGTACTCAGCATCCTGTTCATGCCCAAACAGTTGAAGGAAAGGTCAGGAGCTGACAAGAAGAGGTTGGATAAAATTGGGAACTTCCCTTTATGGTTCCAGATGAAAGCATGTGAATCCTTTCCTCACTAACACTTTCATCCATCACCCCAGATGGTGGAGCCATTTCTAGATAGCTGGTTTGATGTAACTGAAGTAACTTAGTTTCAGCATGCTTCAGGGGCCCTCTTTTGTTCTTAGATCCTGTTTATAATGATTGGGCTCTTGCTTTGTTTCTTTGTGACAAAATTTCTACCTTGACTATAGCTCCTACCTCCTCTGCCCCACCCCTTCCCTACTAGTAGCTCAGTGAGTGGAGAATTGCTGGCGTTTATTCTTGCCCCCCTGAAAAGCCTTTTAATGTTTAATGCTGATTCCTAAAACCTTAGTGACTTTCATACAGGTTTCTTTTGTGGCACACAGAAAGAAATTAATTTTACATAATTTCCACATCCTCTCATGTACAAACAACTTGAACAACAGTTTTACAAAATATATTCACCCTTAAAATGTGCAGGCACTTGGTGATAAAAATGCTGGTTAGATCCCACTAATAGGTTTTTTCACAGTTTAAGAAACACTACTTTAGTATTTAAAATGTAAAATTTTTAGGTGGAGCAAGAACATTTATTATTTTAATTCTCTGATATAAAAAACTATTTAAAATTTTAGTTACCATTTTAATTTCCTTTTAAATGGCCTTTAAACCCTTCTTATGTATTCATTTTAAATACTAAAATTAATTAGATTTAAGTCAAATTAATTTAGATCGTTGTGAGTATAATGAGTTAATTTAAAATTTTAATTTGGGTCACATTGAAGTCAATCATTTGCCCTTAAAATTACCTTTTTGTTTCACACTGCACATGGTTTTAATTTTTAGGAGTTAATTTTTTTTCTTTTTTTTTTTTTTGGTGGCAGTGGGGTTTGAACTCAGGGCCTTACACTTGCTAGGCAGAAGCTCATACTGCTTGAACCACTCTGCTAGCCTCCTTCCCTTCTTTTTTTCTTTTGTGATATTTTGTGGGGTTTTTTGTTTGTTTG